GAACAGTGGGATTGACCGTCACATTATAACGCCTGAAAGGGCGAGCATGTTTAGTGTGACGGGGATTCGAACCCGCGACCCGCACATTGCGAGTCGAGCGCCCTAACCACCTGGCCATAGGGGTGAGTAACATACGTGGCTTGAGAAGTGGATTTCTGAGGAAAGTGGGTTAGAACAATAGGGGTTAGGGTTTGAGAAGTTGGGGCTAGGCATTGAAAGTTGAAAGTAAAACTTGAATGTTTGTTGGTGATTATTCGGTTAAATAAACGTCAGTTTTATTTTGTTTCTAATTTTTGTGTATGTTGTTATTTGGGGGGGGGGCAAGGGGAGAACCCGGTTCTGGCCGAAACTTAGTGACCGGGTAATCGGACCCGGTATTCAGCCAAATTTTACTACCCGTGTATCCCTAGTATATATACATGCTGTTTGAACACGTGTACATATGATATTATGTACGGCCTTACAATGACATGACCAAATGCTCTTTTTAATCATTGTAATATTTTTTGTCCACCACGGACTGTGATATTTTCATTTAAATGATTAAAGAACCCATTAGTAACAACTTGGTTCTGCCTAATTAATTAAAGTACTATTTATACTGTTCTCTCTAACCGTGATAAGAAGGTCTATATAAACGGTTAGACCAAAGACCCAGATACGTCTATATAAATGGAATTGGAATATTCAATCTGAACGGCTCTTAGTGTGCGTGCAGGCTAAACGGTTAAACCAGAAACCCACGCACATCTATATAAATAGAATTGGAATATTCAACCTGAGCGACATCTAGTGTGCACGTAGGCTAAACGGTTAGACCAAAGACCCAGGCACGTCTATATAAATGGAATTGGAATATTCAATCTGAACGGCTCTTAGTGTGCACGCAGGCTAAACGGTTAAACCAGAAACCCAGGCACATCTATATAAATGGAATTGGAATATTCAACCTGAGCGACATCTAGTGTGCACGTAGGCTAAACGGTTAGACCAAAGACCCAGGCACATCCATATAAATGGAATATTCAACGTGAGCGACATCTAGTGAGCACGTGAGCTAAACGGCCAAGCCAGAGACATCTATATAGATATTTATTAATAAAAGTAATGTATTTTTGTTCATGTTTCCTTATACCATCCTTTATCTTAGTCGTACCTGCTTGATTATGTGCTACATAATTTAAGTTTGTTCAGATAAAAATTAGAAATTTTGTACTTAGCAATCAATATATTCCAGTTAAAAAAGTAGGAGCATACATCCCTGTCGCTTCTCTTCCCGTCTTATTGGACAACACTTGTATATTTTTAATGCAGCTGTTTTATATAATGTTGTATGCTTTCAATCACTGTCTCACCCATTCTTCTACAAATACGAGGAAAGTTTGTTTTTGTGGAGCATAAAGCTTCACAGTGCTGTGATCATCGCATGGTTCGAACTTTGAATGTGTAGTGAAAAAACTGTATTCAAGCTTAACATGATAAAAAAATTACAACCTTTCGATAAAGGATTGTATTCATTAGGTACAAAATCTTATTAAACGTTGTACATTTGTTACTATGTTAAACTTGTTTTCAAGTTTTCTTCATAATCCATTCAAGCCGTCTTCGAACTTTGTCTCAAAATGGATTCCTCTCATCAAAATACCAAATAAAAATGTTTACGTAGGTTCTTTTGGCGCCATCTACCGCAAACTTTTAATACTAGTATAGTCAACATGATTTATTTATTAAAGAAATATATCCGTGTCACTGAACCTATATGGTTGCCAGCCATCCTGGTGTAAAAATAATTGGCATATAAAAAAAAAGATACTGGTCGACCCAAAACTTGTTGGGATTAAGGTCCTAATAAAAAAAATTCTACTTAGGGTCAGCGTTTAGCTTACAGACTGAAAACTCTAAAATCCGCGGTTTGATTCCTCATGGCGAACTGAATACATATAGCCTATTGTGCGGCTTTGCACTAAAATGATCTTACAGATAATTAAAGGATTAATAAAATATGCCCTGATACTAGCAGCAGAAAAAAAAGTACAATTAATATGGGCATAAAAAAACGAAACAATTATTCTAATTATTCGAAGAACCCGCCAAGATTTTCTGATAATTTTATTCAAAACATGTCGTGGTAACAAAAGCACACGCACACACACAAACGCTTGGATGCGGTTTGACTGATCGCATTCTGTGTTTATATAGAGAAACATAAGTTTAACTATACGTTTCTGAAGGCTAAACGAAA